AAAAGAGAAATGGAATTGAATTTGCACTGAATTACTGCGATTAAATTTTTTTTATCGCGATAATCCAAACTTTTTGATGCTTTCTTTTTTGAAAAATTTCTAAAAAAATAGTAAAAACATACATTTTGCTTCTAAGGAAGGAAATGATTGTATTATATATTTTTTTAATTTAATAAGTCATTTGTTTAGATTCGATAATCCATTTAACAATTCATTTTTTTTAGTTTAATAATTCATTTATTTAAATTTAACAACTCTTTTTTTTAAATTTAATAATTCATTTTTCTGTGTTGTTGCTATTGTTACTAATTCTTATTGGATGATGAAGGTAATGAAATGAATTGCTGTTTTCTTACTTCTTCAGTGCTTTCACCATGTGTTCCATCTTGGTCGTTGGATTTGTTTGGATTGTATGGCCGTTGTGAATTACGCTCCGTAACAAATCGTCGAATTTCATGCCTAAATAAAAGGACACCAAGATAAAGACGAAGGACAAGAAAAGGAACAAGTGGAAAGTTAATTTGGTTGAGAAAGAAATAAAGTGACAACATCTATTCATGAAAGTACCTGAAATCAACAAGTTCACCAGGTGCTAAATCACCCGAATTGTCCACATCAACTTTCTTGAAGAATTGTCGCGTTATTACTCGATCAATTTTATATTTCAATTCGATTAATTCCTCTAATTCATCGATTGTTACCGTTTTATCCTTATTCATATCAAATTCCTATGTAAAAAAAATAGAAAAACAGCGAAATACTTATGGCAATATTTCAAAGCTTTTATAACTTATTACTTTTTTGTTTGGTAGTTTATCGAAATTTTATAGTTTTTCTTTTGTATGCAATTTTTTAAAAGAAGAAAAAACTTTGATAGTTTGATAATTTATGAAAAATTTGTCACCTTGTCACTCTTTTGTCTGGTAATTGATTGAAATTACAATTCATCGGTTTTTAATTTGATAGTTTTCGAAATTTTTACAGCTCAACACTTTTTTTGCTCGTCAATTTATATTTTCAGCAATTTATCACTTTATCTTTTTTTTTTATTGCTATAATCTTTATCATTGTTAAAAATATTTGGGAAAGCATTTGAAAAATATATCAAGATTAAAAGACATACTTTGAAATGATCAGTTGCAAATTTGATAGCACTTAGTCGTACGAGGCGCAAAAAGTCAGCTAATTCCACTTTATCTAATTTTCCACTCTTATCCTAAAATATTATTGTAATCATGGTCTTGCATGAAAAGCTCATCAATTATTGTCCAAAAAAATTTCTCAAAAAAGATTAATTAATTGAAATTGTTATTTGCAAAAAAAAGAACGTTTAGTAATTCAAGGACTTGTATTAAAACTTTTTCTGCGTGAAATAAATTATTTTTAAAATTAAAACTAAAATCAATAAAATTAGATAAGACTGATACGAATTATTTGCTATGTAGCAAAGTAATACTACCTGATCAGCAATAACAAATAAATTAAATGTCTCCTTAGGATCCATGTCATCTTGTCGTCGAGCCATTGCAACAGCCTCTGAATTGTTAATGTAACCATCACCATCACTATCGATTTCCTAAAAAAAAATCAGTAATTAATTACCGAAGATGTAATATGTTAGGTGAGAGCTTTTTGCACATTTTCTACAATATTTATCTTGTTACATCTTCGAAATAATTGATATCAATTTAATTTATATTTTTTTTTTAATCAAACATTTTTATTTACCTTTTTCATTAATAAATTCAATTTTACACTGAAATTATCAAACGTTATTCATTTTTTGCGAAAATTTATAATTATCATATATTGTCTTAAAATAGTAATAATTCAAATAACAATTAAAGTTTTCGGTACAAAATTTCTGATAGTTTTTCAATAATTTATTACTTTTAGGGTTTAATTTAAACCTTTTTATATAATATTCTCAGAATTCGCGAAAATGGTCAAAACAAAACTTCTCAAATCCGTCAATATGCTAAGAAGTATGAGTGGTCAAAGAGAAGTTTCTGGCAATGGTCAAGATGAAACATAGTTGTTTTCTTTTAAGATTATAGCGCCACACGCTGGATTCTTTAGCATGTTGAATGAAATGCTTTTCAGGAATGAAAAGGAATGAAAATGAAAAGGTGGAGGAAGAAGAATTAAAGTAAATGTCAAAAGGACAGGTACTGAAAATGGTACGTTAACCGGGAAAAAAAAAGGAAGCAATTTTCTCTTAAAGTTTTAATAAATAATTTTTTCTTCTTTTTTGGAAGTCCATTTATTATAGGAAAATTTGTAAAAAACTATATTTTATAGTTAATCTTTATTGGAAAAAAATTTTTTTAAATATTCTAAAATTTGGCCAAAATTTACAACAACAGATTATTATTAAATGATAACCTGCATAATATCTAAGGCATTTTTTACAGCCTTACTACGTATAACTGATCGAAATCCAGCAAATTCAACTGGATCCAATTGGCCATCTTCATTTTCATCTGCTTGAGCAAAAAATGGTCCAAGAATCTTTTCATCAAAACCATAGTGATCAAATGCGATACGTTTAGCTTCATCCATTGTTACAGTACCACTTCCATCACGATCCACTACCTAATCAAAATGTATCACCAAATGATTATATTAAATTAATATTCATTCTTCTTAATAAAATTAATATTTTTCTTCACAATAAAATTAACGTTTTTTTTCACAATCTTAAATTAATATTTATCCATTTCTTATTTTCATTTCTTTTTGGAATTATTCAGTTTTTTTTTCCAATACCTTTAATGTTTTATGATAAATGTAACTATTAGATAAAAGTATTCAATTAATGTTATTCATTTCTTATTTCCATTTTATTTGTTTTTGAATTATTTGAAATTTCCAAATACCTTTAATGCTTTTCTTGATGTTTCAATAGCTCGTGAACGAATGATTCGTTCAAAATCAGCAAATTCTGGTGCATTTAATTCACCATCGTTATTATCATCAACGGACATTACCATTTCATTAACATCACCTGCACTAATACCTTCTTGCTCGAATGCTATCTTTTGTGCTTCTCTCTTATCGATATGTCCATCTTCATTTTTATCCGCATTCTGGAATAATAATTAATTCAGATAATTCATATCAGTACTAATTATTATCAGCTTTAGAATTGATCTCATATACTGTAACTGAAAAGATGCAATTTTCATTACTAAGTTTATTTTTAAGCTTAATGATTATTTTATATTTTACTCATTAATTAAAATATATATACATAAGTATAAAGGAAATTTAATACTTCGTTATTATTCATAAAATTGAATGATTACAACAAAAATTTCCATCTCAATTAATTTCAAAGAATTTACAAAATAATAAAAAAGGACATTTTTTCCGTAACATTTTAGAAAGATTGAAAACAAATTGTTTATGAAAAAATAAAAAGAGCAGAAATGAAAATTTTACGAAATATATATGTGAAAAAAAGCTATAATAGTAAAATGAAATTACCTTCATAATTAGCCTCGCAAGCCGAATTGACATTGCTCGAATGCGTCGTCGTAATTTGCTAAACAATGTAGCATCCATTTCAGTATTTAAATTTGGTACTACTAAACGCCATACACGTTCCACGTCACGATTTCCAATTCCATATTCTTTTAAAATATACTCCTGTGCTTCTTTCAATGATAATAAACCGTTATGATCTTTGTCAACTGTCTGAGAAAAAGAAAAAATTACTTTAAGAAATGGAATTAATTCAAAGTTATAATGTCATTAAATTCATTCCAATATTAGCTTGCGAAATCAACAATTATCACACCCTCATAATCATTTATAATTTCAATCAATAATTCAATTATAATCAATTATTGGAATAAAAACACTTGAAGAATGTATTACAAAAGAAAAAAAATTGATCTTATGGTAGCCAAAATTTTTTTAAAAAAAATTGTTTGAAACTGAAGAATGTAATTGTGCAAATTTTCCAATTTAATTTTAAAATTGAAAAACGAAATGCAACATTTGTATATAAAATTACTTGTAAATAACGTTGTGCAGCACTTTCAGCTTTTGCAAGTACCAATGGTCGTATATCATTGAATTCAATTGATGTCAGATAACCATCACCGTTTTTGTCAACCTTATTGAAAGTAACAAATTTTTGTATTAATTAATTAAAAAGTTATTTTGAATTATTTTATGATGCGAAGAAAAAAGTGAAAGAAGAGGTATGTAAAAGAAAAAAAATTATGTATTTATAATTAAAGATTTAATATTTTAATACTATACTAAAGCTATTAAAAATATTTATTGTTTGAAATTTTGTTTAAAATTTATATTTTATAAACAGCCAAATTCATTTGAAAAGGAAAATTTGAATTTCATACTTCATTGAAAAGACTTTCAATGACATTACTGGATAATCCATGATGTACAAATGCAGCATATTGTACTTCAGCAAGACTTAACGCACCATCACCATCCAAATCAACACTTTTATCTACCGGCGGTAATTGTCCGGTTGCTCCAATACCAGATGGATTGCTTTGAGAAGTATCAGTTATAGGATGATTTAATTGTGTTGATTCTGTTGAAATGAAATGATTTGAAATTGGCACTATAAATTGTAAATTGCCACTATAATTTACTTAAAACACTTACACTACAAATAATATTACAATTTAGAATAAATAAAGAGTTAAAAAAGGAATTTTGATGAAAAACAGAATGATAATTGAAATTAAAATTTTTGCTTAGTGAATTGTTATTTTTAGAAAATGAAATAAAGTATGAATTGAAAATTTTACAAATGTTTGAGAAATTATTTATAAGCAACAATTAAAGAGGTGAATTGAATTTTTGCACAAATATTTAGCATTTTAATCAATTATTTCCAATAAATTCATTAATTATCATCTCGAAACTTTCATTCTTTTACTACTCTTTCCTTTTTGTTGTTTCATTTAAAAATTTTTCATCTAATTTTTCCCTACAACTACAACCATTTCCTGCATTTCGATACTTTTTGTCCACTGAAAATTTTTTCATACTTTTTTTTCCAATAAAAATGAAGAAAAAGATGCAATTCCTCTTTTTTTCTTAGTTATATTTCATTGTTTTAATTCTTTTTTTGGCTGATATCAAATTTTCAATCGAAAATTTGACAATTTGTAAAGAATTGACAAAGATAAAGAAAGTATGTGAAAGAAAACAAAAGGATTAAAATGTAGCAAATATTGTACAAAATGATAAGTTCCATTATTTTTCATCCTTTTTGTCCTACATTTTCTTTTTTTTCCTCTGTTTTTGTTTTTTCTTAATTCTCTAAAAGAAATAGGATAAATGGAAATTGAAAAATAAAGTAACTTTAATTTGATTTCAAAAAAATTTTCAAGTCGATTATTTAAAAATTTTGATGCAAAATTTCCCTTACCAACATCGACAACTTAGATTTTGTAAATGAAAGATAGAAATTATTTGCATGATTAATCAGGAGATTAATTACAGTGTAATGTCTAAGTCATCGGTATTACTTCATCGATTCAAAAGTTTCCTTTTTTGAAATCAATTTCCAAATTTTGATTACAGTTTAAATGTCCAGTGAAGGTAAAAAGTAAGAAAAAAATAATGCGAAAATGATATGTTAAATGTGAATAGGATTTTTCGATTTAAAGATTTTGTCAATTGTCAACAACAAATGTATACCATGTTGAAGTCGTCGTAATGTTTCCATACGAGCCATCATTGCTGCATGAGCTGCAGATGATACTTTTTCACTTACTAAAACTAGAAATTTATTAAAAATTTATTCGAAACTTTCGAAATTTAACAAATTATCAAATTGCTTTTGTTTTTTTCAACTATTTAATTTTGATAATTTAAAATACTTTTAATGCTAATACTAATGTAAAGAGGAATGAAAAGGATTGTGAAGTATGTGGAAAAGAAATGATTCCTTTAATTTAAGCTAAAAAAAACTTTATAAAAAAATGAAAAAATTGGAAAAAATTTAGCGGCACCAAAGTGTCACATTGTGGAAGTTTATTCTCCAGCAATAAAATTTGGAAATTAATATAAAATTTTGACAAACTTTGCATTTTTTAGCATATTTTGTTTTTCGGTTGTTAAATTCAAAAATTGTTTTGTAGTTTTGATTCCTATGAACAAAGTTTAATCATTGCGAAATGTTTGATTTGCAAAAGATAACCAACTTACAGTTTATTTTATAAATTTGATTCACAAGAAAAATATGTTCAAGAATTATTGCAGAATAATAACTCTCGAGTGTTCACTCTCGAGAATGAAGTTTAAGAGTGTCATTGTTATAAATTCCAATTTTCTAATATGAAAGTTTAAGATTTTAAGAAGTGATTCATAAATACAAAGGATGTCATTGAATTTTTTCAATCATTGATTCATTATTTTGCATTGTAATTGGATTATCCAAAATTTTTTGTCGAATGAATTTTAAAATAATTATTGGATTGTAAAAAAAAAAAACCGGAATGATCTGAAGGTAATTTTTTTTTCAAACAATGAAGAAACAATGTGTTGTTGATGACCTAATTGCGTTGATTTATCACTACTGATTTGTTTTGCTGGTCGAAAATTTGATGGTAATTGTTGTTGTTGCCGTTGTTGTTGTTGCTGTTGTTGTTGTTGTTGTT